CACCAACAACAGTGGGTCGTTTATTTAAAAACGATTTAAACACATCACACATTTACAATAATTGGCAGATTGATTTCAATAAGACAGCTTAATTAATGAGCTTTACAATGAGAACCATACGGCCATGGTATCTCACTTGCAACTAATTACAACAGACATTTATGAAAATATCTGGATGATTTACTGGCAAGATAGAAGAGTTTTAAAGATGGGAAATGAGGGAGTTTAAATGGAGAGAAAATGGATGAGGGAAAAGTGGGTTGATAACGATCGGCACCCTCCATCCGAACCCAGCTCCACCTCGGTACACTTCGGTAGTGAGGGACTCGTTACCTTGTAGAATATGTCTCCACTGGTACGGAGTTCTATTTAACGCTACCTTTCCAGCGTCTCCGTAGGAACATCTGCGAATCGTCCGAAGTAGTGACGGTACTTCGTTCAACACCACGCTCACCTCTCAGGTGGACTCACATGAGCTGTGAGCCTGTCAGAGGTTCCACTCAGATGTGGAAGATTCCATAATCCCCACGAGACTCGGAACTTTGTTCTTCCTTCTGGAACTTTGTTCTGCGTAGTTCCCGTTGTTCTGCTGGAACTAGGAAGTGTTGACCCTTTTAAAGAGGTCACTTCCGGTTCCTCTGAGAACTTCCTGATTGGTTGAAAGAACCAACAGGGGTGTGGTCTTAGTGACGTAAGAGGGTCATTAAAAGTCAAGGAGACAGAGTAGATTGTTTTAAGAACAGACAGAAAGATGTTTTGAAGAACAGAGACTTTTAGGAGCCGTTTTCCTTCTATCTGTCTGATAGAGATAAACATGACATTTCGTTCCAATAAACATGTTTTTGACCGTTCCTTCACTTTTGACCGACTTACTCCTTCTCATTTCAGACAGAGAATCAAAAATGCATCATTACTCTTGTAACAGACATTAACTTGATTTCTACTTTGAATGAGGATTAAAAATCATTAATACTGTTTCGCAGTTGATTTAAAATGAGTAGTTCACTTCAACATTTAAAATGGTTTGAACTAAACACACTTTTGAATATCAAGATATTGTAAAATAGTAATGATAATAAAAAAGAGAGTGTTCTTTCAATTGATCAGTGCAGGATACAATTAGAAAGTCTCTGGATGAACTTAATTTGTGTTTCTGGACTCAAATCAATGAAATAACAGTTCTTGTCCCAGGAAGGCCCTCAGGGCCAGATTTTGACCTGAG